GACGTGACATGTTCGTACGAACCCTTTGTACGAACAAAAGTAAGAGAAATTTAGGATAAGAATACGAACATGTTCTTGCATGAGGCCCAATGAGATCCAGCTGAATCAATTCAAGTCATTTCTCCTAACTTGAGTTTTCATGACTTGAATACCTTCCGAGATTTTTTTTTCTACGTATGGCTTTTTGTTGTTTGTTTGTGTGTTTGATCTTCACTGAGGACTGCACCACAAATTGCCCCTTGGGGATAATAAAGTTTTACATGAACTTGATAATATTCAACAGTAGTGAAAATTGTTTTACTTATACTTTCCCAGTAAGGACCTGTAATATAACCCTATTATTGACTTCAAAAGAAAACTTTGGAGTCAACTGTGGACTTAACTCAAAGTCAATCAGTTTGAGACGTTCAGTCAGTGATTATTTATGCAACGCATTCTAATGCCCCCTGCGTCAACATATTGACGCTTGGTCAGGTAGCCGTCTGCGTCAACTTTCGGATGCACAGGGTAGCCCCCGTGCGTCTGTTCTTTACGAGATGAGGCGGAGGAGGACGAGCGAGTTGTCGTATATTTTTCACAAGAGTAGGAAATGCGCAAAACTAACCATCCCAGACAGCCTATCCCTGACCACAGACCCTAAACTTAACTATAACCCTGATCCCTCATATTAACCATTTTTTAATGTAGAGAATTTGCGAGAACCAACCGACCCAGAGCCTACATTTAACCTATATTAGCTATATACAGCCTATCATTGACCCCAGTATCTCAAATTAACCATTAATCTCGATCCCTCAAATTAACCTCAGACCGCCGACCCAAAGACCCCTAAGTGGCGCAACCCGGAAAAACTGCCGGCGGCAAGGACGGACGTGCGGGGGGTACCCGACGTGTCAAAACTGGACGTAGACAGTCCCTGCCCAAGCGTCAATATGTTGACGAGTCCAACATGAGAATGTGTTAATTTATGACATTTTTGCATTGTAAGGTTCTTCATAGCCTCATTTTTCTCCAAACTTGGTTGTTTGCTGTAAGCAGAGTGCACCCTTAATGTAGGCAGGGATCATCATATCAAAAAATGCATAAATCTTTATGTGATGATGGCAATTTTTTTGTGACACAACATTGGATAAGATCAAGCTTGTCATACTTGTGTTCATTCTATATATATATAT